ACACGGGATCAAGCCTGACAGTTACACTGTGAGAGTTTCACCCGCTCTTTACGGGCACTAGGCACCGGTCCTCCCACTTAATAGGTGGTTGAGTCACCGTGATATAGGTGGTTGGCTCAACCACCTATTAGGTGGCAGATTGGGCAAGGACGTGGGATCAAGCCTAACAGTCACACTATAAGAGTTTCACCCGCTCTTTGTGGAAACTAGGTACTGGTCCTCCCACTTAATAGGTGGTTGAGTCACTGTGATATAGGTGGTTGGCTCAACCACCTATTAGGTGACAGATTGGGCAAGGACGTGGGATCAAGCCTAACAGGCACAGTGTGAGAGTTTCACCCGCTCTTTGTGGACACTAGTCACCAGTCCTCCCACCTAATAGGTCGTTGAGTCGCCGTGATATACTCATCCACAATCCTGTTAGGCCGGGTTGTAGATGCCCTCGGCCTCGGGAGAGGGATTTTGCCTTTTTAGGGCAAGATATTTTGTGATTTTAGTTTGGGTATCTAGTACATTTACACCTAAAAGTTTAGGTGTATTATAAAGCCACCCCTTTTGCATTCTTCATATGATCACTTTGAAAAAATGGAATAGGATTTCGAATAGAACTCAAACTCAAATAGAAGCTATTAAGAATATGCAAAAGAATCGAAACATACTGTCACCGGCGGAGGTCTTGAGCTGCTCGAGGGCCGAAAGGCTGGAATCCGACGCCGCATTGGCGGCGGCGGCTGCAGCATTCTGAGGCTGAACCGAGACCTCGCACCTGATGGAAGAACTGAACGAACCCCTCTGGACCAAGCCGCGTGGTCTAGCTCGAGCCGACGCCTTGCAGAGCACCCCAAACGACGCCGGAGAAGCCGCCGGATTCGAAGCGGCGGCGGCGGCGTTGCTGACCAGCAAAGACTCGAGTTTGGCCCCTGAAAATGCGCCGGAGACCGCCATTCCCCGCGGCAAGAATTCAGCGCTTCCACCACAAGCCTTACCCCCTTGGATCGGAGAAAAGTGGGGCGTCGGAGAGGCGTGTGGCGGTTGGACGGAGGGGTTGTGACGTTGAGGAAATGATTGGTCGGAGGGGAAATGCGTGGGCGAGTATTGACCAGTGCTGAGTCAGCGAGTTGGAGATTTCTTTCAATTCTGATTGGCGAATGGTTTCCACGTTTTATCCACACTTTATATACTTCACTCAAAACTTGTATCAACTCCCAAACCCATTGAATAAATTATTATAAATTAAAAAAAAAATTAAAAAGAAAAGGAATTAAACTCTTGCTAACCAAACACACTAAATACACTTATACACTTGTCATTTTCTAACCAATAATATCTAGAGTATAAGAGTTATACTACATGTACTCACAAATCTTACTCCTCCTTGATGTGGTGGGAACGCTACTTTTTTCATGTGGGTCTCAATTCAAGTTTCTACATCAAAATTTTGTATGTAGAAATAAAAATTGAAAGTGAAAAATAGAGTACATAGAGTATTTTCTAGAGTACAAAGTTAAAATGTACTCCCTCCGTCCCATTTTATGTGTCAGGTTCGATTAACGAGGCTTGACATCAATTATTTTTAATTCAATTTTTCATACTATTAAGTTCAGTATTAGTATACAAAATTTATATATTTAGAAACTACACTAAAAGAACTAATAAACACCAAAAAATAAAATACTAAAGAAAATAAACAAAGAAAAAAGAGTTGATTTGACCAATAAATAGTAAATAGAACAGATAAAATGGGACGTATAGACTACTATGATAAGGTGATATGTTTAGCTTGTAGCATTGTAGGATACATGCATACATATATCCAAGAAAATGATAAGATGTGACGTGGAAAAGTGCAAAGGAGTAGTTAACTAGTGATAGATAATGAATCTTAGGATTTTCTACCACAACTTGCAATAGATGTTGTGGAGCTGGCCTGGCCTCACATTGATGATTCACCCATATCTTGCTCTTTTTTACAAAATACAATCAACTATTCTTTATATCTCATTATTAATAACACTAATCAAAATGATTTATTAATTAATATGGGTGAATTAAAATTTAACTTAAATTAACTACTTCAATATAGGGTTAAAACATACTCGCGTATTATTATTGCTCTAATAGGGGTTGTTGAATGAATGGAACATAATTCTTATACCAAATGGTCGCAAGTTTAATTATTGTTAATATTCTCCTGAACTCATCACATAGTGTTTTTCTAATGTGGTTTACTTTGTCATGTGTGGTTTGTGGACTATAATAAAAGAGCGACTTTACCCAACACACACAAATGGTCATGAGTTTTCCTCGTTATAAAAAAAATCATTGATAATTACATTTACAAATTCTTTTGCTCGTAGTCTTATACATAACTAAAGCATATATTGGGAATGGTGACTAGCGATCGACAATGGTGACCAGCGATCGGCAAACATTCGTCAGTCGTTGATCGCCGAATTTATCAACGAAACCCTAATGATATCTGGTTATTCCAGGTGAATTGAACAATCAGGTATTGAGTTTAAATGCACTAAAATGATAAGTTTGAGTGTTTAATTGCACATTTTTAAAGTTCAAGGTTTAATTTATTTTTCATGTAAAGTTCAATGCATGGTCTATTTAACAATTTTTCTTAAAATATTTTTAGTATAATCCAATATGTTAGAGTATTGGTAAACAAATTACTAATAGAAGTGTATAGTCATAAATTTAACTGTAGTATATGATGCACCATGTTAAAGAGTTCAACTCTGCGGGCATTTTTTTTATTCTATTATTTACTTTCTGCTGATCATTTGTACCACATGTCAATTGGCACAAAAAGAAAAATGCAATTTTCTTTCCCTTTATTCGTTCAATGAGATCAGGACATGTGGTGAAAATAAGAGTACATTAATCATTTTTCTAAATACAATTCTGCACAAAGTACAAATAATTACACTTATGGTATGTTTGGTTTATGAAATAGGTTAGGAATGAAATAGAACTATTCCATTGTTTGGTCCGATCATTTTGTTATGGAAAAAATATTCAATGAATACAATTGTTAAAGTCTCGATTATAATAAATAACTAATTATTATACTTCTAAATAAATGGAATAAGTCAAAGGTCTTGTGGTTGAGTGACATTGCAACTCACTAAGGACTTTGTAGTCTACTGATATTTGGTTGTTCCCCTATGTGGGAGGTCTAGGTTTCAAGCCTTGGTGTAGGCATAGATTGTATATCTGGGTATCTCCATTCTTTTGTAATAAAAAAAAAAATAATAATAATAATAAAAAAGAGAAGCAACTCAAAATGAATGCCAATGTGTTGAAGAAATACATACTTAGAAGGTTAAAATATCTATATTTTGTATAAAATATACTTTTTTTTATTATTAAATAGGATATAATTATTTTCTCAATCGTTCTTTAAGTAAGTCGTTTATAACAATTTTGTATATAGTGCAAAGGGAAGGCAACGTGTTGAATAAATATTTTAAACTAGTATTTTTAACATAAAATATGCTTTTTTTTTTATCAAGGTAAGTACTATATTTTTGTTATTTTTAATTAAGTCAAGATATTTAAAACAAATTTGTATGGTACAAAATCAAAGAACAATGTGATAAAGAAACTACCTTCAAAATAATATATATGTTATTTTACATACAATATGATTTTGTTCAAGTTAGATATAATTATTTTTTTCATGTTTTTATGTCAAGTGAGTTAAAACAATTCGGTGAGAAATACACTACAAAAGCAGAGACCGATATGTCTAAGAAGTACAAGCTAAGAAACGATAAGTTATTTTAATTTGCATATAATATGAATGTTTTTTATTAGGCAAAACATAACCGTTTTCTCGTTGTTTTTAAGTCAAGTCACTCGAAACAATTTGGTACAATTACGAAAGAACACCCCACTCACTATACAAATTAAATAGAATCGTACATTTTCATTAACATAAAAAAACCCAGAAGATGATTAAAGAAATGAATGGTTTCACTAAGACAAGATTTAGTGTTCTTGGTGCAAGAAAGCATTGCATGCTTTTAAAGCTAAGACAGATGAACATGTTGGGAATTAATTAACTTAGTTTCTTGATCCCATGTTTTGCCACCTTAATTTGTGCACAAGTTGTCGTTTTGCATGTTTTAGACTTTTGGTCCATGGTATTATCGGTAAAGTTGTATTGTCACTCGTATCTATTAAACAGTCACTTTTAAAATCAAAATATGAATTACTATCCATGATATTTAATTTCATCTCTACTTACATAAAGGTAGTCCGTATTATAAATATTACCGTTTGTTATACTAATATTTTTTTTTTTGAAACATTGGTTATATTAATATTTAAAATTTGTTAATTGCATTACATTTATTGATTGATATTATAATTTAATTGTGTGTTGTTTAGCATATGAGAAAATTGTATTTTTGGTCATTTAGTTATACTCGTGGTACAAACTTAATCCATGAGTTATATATATGATTGTATTTAAACCCTAAATTATGCACGAAGTGGGAATTTTAATCCCTCGGGGACTATTTGTACGTATCACTAATTTGTCACTTAACAAAGTGGTTGATTTGGTCCTTCAAGGACTAAAATCGTCACTCCATGCATAACTTATGTGTTAAAGATGGTCATGCATATAACTCAATGACTAAGTCTATATCACGAGTATAACTAGATGACCAAAAATGTAATTTTTCTTATAAATAATAAATGCATGTTCTAACTATGAGCTTAAACTTTTAATTAATTGAGACGGAACATATCTTTTAGTTTAGTATTAGAGCTAAACCCAAGTGAAAAGTTATGGATTGAAACGTACCTCTACGTGAAGTTGCATGTTAAGCATAAATGCATAATATATATAAAAATCATGTTGAAAAATTAGTATGAAATTAAATGGCATGTGATCGAACGACTATTTTGAGTGTTGTTCACAACTTATTAGGGTTGGATATTAACTTGGAGGTTCAAGTCCACCAGCATACTATTGAAATATGGCATTGGTCGCTAGCTACCCAAGTATAAAATGATAAAGATGTGCATTTACTATGTAAGGTGATAAACTTTTGGTTCTAATAATAAGGTCGAAGATGAGTTGCATTCTCCTAGTTGAAAAGATGAATTTTGAAATTTTTATACCCTCAAAGAGTCAAAGTGAATAATAGTTTATAGCTAGGTGAATAAGAATTTGATTCTCACAGTATACACATGAAGTTGGAGAAAATGAGTTTTAAAAGGTTTTGAAGTATCATTATATTTGTTTCGCATAAAAATAAATGTGAATTTTGACTAATATAAATAGAGGAGTTGAAGGATACTAAAGTATGTGGTCTTCTGGATAATGCAGGGTGTTGGGATGTGGAGCTGCTGCGAGATATTTTCAATGAGGCGGACGTGCCAAGGATTCTTAATACGCCTGTCTCTATACAGTCTTCCGACACATGGTACTGGAAGGGGGATTTGCGTGGCCTCTATTCCGTTAAGCATGGTTATAATTCCCTCATGCGTGAACATTTGAGTCAAGAACCAGGCCTGGAGTTTACTAATTGGTGTGCGATTTGGAGCCTTAAGATCCCGCCGAAGGTACGTAATTTTTTGTGGCGTTGTGTGAGGAATATTCTGCCCGTGCGTGAGGTGTTGAGTCAACGAGGGGTTATGGTGGTGGGGGGTTGCCTGCTTTGTGACCATTATTCTGAGAGTGTGTCACATTTATTTTATGAGTGTGGGGTCATAATGCAGCTTTGGGAGGGATTTGGGGCTGCAACTGGCAGCACTTTTCTTCAAATGGTGCGGCATTATCTAACTTCTAGTAATGTTGTTGTGCATGTCCAGCTAGTAGCAAGTTTTTGGACAGTGTGGTTGGCGAGGAATGAGTCTTACTGGAATGGGAAGAGATGGAATATGGGAGAGCTGAAGCAGAAACAGTGTGCGCTAGTCTTGGAGTGGCAGCAGGCCTTTCAGGTGGGAAGAGGGCAACAACCACTGGAAGCTCCCACTACGCCGCAAGGTTATTTAAAATGCAACATTGATGCGGCGGTTTTCGATGAGGGGGCTGGGTATGCTGCTGTTTTAAGGGATCATCACGGTGGGTTCGTCGTTGCAATGAATGGATGGTTCATGTCCCTACGGGATCCGTACCAAGCTGAAACGATGGCGGTTAAAGAGGCTCTCGCGTGACTCAAGAGCTGTAGTTTTAATAATGTTATTGTTGAGTCTGATTGTCTTAATTTTGTTAATAATTATAATTCCGTAGTGCAGGATTTGTCTTATGTTGGGTCTTTCGTTAAGCAATGTCGTACCATTGCTAGGGACATTGGGAACGTTGTTGTTCGCCATGTCAAGAGGTCAGCAAACCACGTAGCTCATGTGTTTGCACGGACAACTGGTTCTTCTTCTGATCTTGAGGTTTGGGTTGGGAACCCTCCGAGTTGTATCTCACGTTTTTTTGATGGTTTAATATAAGCTTTGGTTCTCAAAAAAATACATTTTAACTTTTTAAGATAATGTTAAAAAAAAAAAAAAAAGATAATGTTTAAAAGGCATTACTAGAAAACTCTCTCACGCAGTCACACGCAAGGGTTCAAATTAAATGATAAATAGAAAATGAGATCCACAAACTTAAAACATTCTTCCAAAAGGCGGAATCCCAACCCTAAGGGCTCTCATACTCCGACTCGACAAAGTATTTGGGAGGATGTAAATCATGGCAACTCAACTGAACATGAACCACAGAGGCTAGATCTGTGCTCAATCCTTGGTCATTCTTCCAAAGTTTCACCTCTGTGACCAATTGAGCTGCTCATGCGGGTTCACAAACTTAAAACATTATTCTATATATGGTCATATAAATATCTTTTGTAATTTTAATATTTTAACAAAAATAGCGGCAATTTGTTCATAGATAAAAAAGTAATAACTTATTTGATTGATTCATTTGGGTAGCTCAGCGGTTAATGTTTGCTGAAAAATAAAAAGAAAATGAGTTGTCTTAGTTTTATAAATATTGCATAATTATAAAATTGACCTTGCATTTTTTTAATACTAAAATCTCCAATAATTGATGACTTGGATGGGTAGTTGTGATCAGCCATCACTTTCTAGAGGAGAATTATTTTCATTTGAATCCACCCCTATATGTGTGTAGTTGTTACACAGTGAACCATGCTCCAATACGATATCATTTTTCACCGTTATTGTTAATTAATGACATATCAAATTACAAATATGTATATTGTTAAATGAAAATGGGGTATATTAAAATGATATTTTAGTGTTGCTATAATGAAATTAGTGTGTGTTGATAATGAAACTAAAAACAAAGTTCATGCTATAAGCCTATAACGTATATTGTCATATGAATTTGAAGTGTAATTAAAATGATACTTCAGCATTATTATAATGAAACTAGTGTGTGTAAAAAATGAAACTAAAAAACATATCTCATGTAATAATTTATATTGTCAAATGAACCTAAAGTGTAATTAAAATGATACTTCAGTGTTACTATAATGAAACTAGTGTGTGTGAAAAATGAGAATAGAAAAATATAGTTTTTTTTTTTTTTTTTTTAAACCAAAACGAATACTTCATTAAATCAAGTGTTCAATACATTGAGGAAAAGAAGAAAACTCAATAGAAGGACCAGAATGAGAACTAACAGCCCTAGCCAAGGCATGAGCGGCTTTATTCACTGATCTCGGAATGAACCTAAAAGACACTCCTTCAAAGTGTCGTTGATACTCTAGGTGGACCCTAGTCCTAAACGCGTATAAATTGTATTTTTTTTAGTATTGAAATTGTGAATTTCTAAAGTATAAATTGTGTTTCAAAGTCAAAACACATAACATATGTAGAAGAAAATTTGTGAATAACTGAATACAATATAAGGCAGTATTTGAAAGAAACTTGTGAATACAAAACAAGGTAATCAATTATATATATGTTATCATTGTGTGTTCATAGTATACAAAAATGTGAATTTTTAAAGGGTAAATTATGAACATTTAGTATGTAAATTGTGAACATTTGGATCGGGGTCCACAAAATAATTTGCCAATTTATGGCACACCACTAGTTTGTCCAATTGTCAAACAGTTATGCCATGAATCTGGATTTAAAATACACAATTTACATACTGAATGTTCAAAATTTGAATTGTGAACATTTAGTATGTAAAATTATGAACATTCAATATATAAATTGTATACTTTTAGATTCAAATCCACCTTGCAAGGTGACCCCGATTCACAAAATAATTTGCCCCAATTGTCTCATTTAATTATGAAAACCCAATCTTGGAAGATTGAGAATGGGCTGCTTGTACCTACACCATTTCCTCTCACAGGCTGCATGGGCTTATATTGCCACATGTTTTGTGGATTTGTAGACTGCAATCCAATGTTTTTTTTTATCTTTGGAGAGTATTGTTCTAGATAAATATGTTTCGAATTGTATAAATTTCCACTTTCGATTTGGTTCAAAGTATTTCTATACACTTCTTTTAATTGAAGCATGTGCTCCATCTTAAATAAAAGGTTAAGCTGATAGTTGGATTGCACATTAATGACTATGACCATGTTTGGTTATTGGCGGATCCACCATTTTTTGACGGATCCGCCATTTTTGGCGGTTTGACCATGTCAAATCGCAAAAAAAAACCGTTTAGTTAGCAGCAGTTTGGAGCAGTGATTTGCTCCAAACCGCTGCTTTGGCAAACGCTACAAAATGCAGCGTTTGCAGTTGGCGTTTTGGAAAAAATTAAATTTTTCCCAAAACGCCCCTGTTTATATTTAATTAAAAAAAAAACTTAAAACTAATTTTGAAGAGCCGAAATGGCTCCTCAATTTGGGGAGCAAAACGGCTCCTTAAATAGGAGCCTCAAGGCTCCATTCCCACTTTTTCCACCGATGTGGGACGGTGGGAAAAGTGGGAATACAAGAAGGGAGCAGCTTGCGTTGCTCCCTTCTTTTTTTTTCTTTGTTTTTTAAAAATTATTATTATTATTATAAATTATAAATTATAATGTATACCCTTATGGTCATTTTACATGTTAACCGCTAATCTAAACAGCTAATTTTACCAAACACTTTTTTTATAAACCGTTAATATAATCTGCTGGTCAAACCCGCTATCTGATAACCGCTAACACAACCCGCTACCGCTAATCGCTAACCGTTGATAACCAAACAAGCCCTATATGCTGAACACTTTTAAATTCTCTCTCTTAACATTATATTATTTTATGAGACATTTCAGTATTTAATTATTAACTAAATTATTTTTTTTAGTAGTAGTGAGATCAATAAATTCATAGTCATGGATAGAAAAGGTTTTAAAGCCACATCAAAAAGATAATATTTGAGGGGAGAATAACATTATTCTTTGGTTAATATATCAAAATAAAATTTTGTTTGGTTAATTAGTTAATCAAATTAAAATTAATTTGGTGATCAATGGGCTATCGAATTGGTTGTTTAGTATGTGGGTTATGCCTATCATACCTAAAGGTTATGAATTTGATTTTTGTCAACCTCCTTAAGTGCTCAACTAATCCAAATTTCACCCGAATATATATAAACTCTACTAATATAATATGCATACGGCAGCATACTAGGTTTTTTTTTTTTGGTTTGTTTTTTTGGAATAAGGGTCAAATAGGTCATCGAAATCCACACAATAATGCAAACTTAAAAAAGTACCCATTGGGTCCCTAGACTAACCAATCTCATGCAAGTAATCCAGTTTACAAGTTTGCAGGTTAATAATAGGTCATCCCAAATGTCAAATATTTTTTTAAAAAATTATTATTTAAAATAATTATTTAAATTTTGAAAAAAAAACACGTCTCCGCAAAAAAAAAAAAAAAATAATAATAATAATAATCTTCGTCTCCGACCATGGAGACAATGTCCGGAGACGAAGAAACCTCCTTCATCTCTAGTTGGAGATGTTTTTTTTTTTAATAATTATTTTTTAAAAAATATTTGAAATTTGGGGTGACTTGTTACTAACATGGAAAACCTATAAATTGGACTAATTGCATAAAATTAGTTAGTTTAGGGACAAATTTTTGAGGCAACCTTGTCTAAGTTTGTCATGTTATTAACTTGGTAACTACAAAGTTACAAGTTTGACTTCTAACACGAACGACCTTACCTCATTGTGACGATATTTACCTAGTGCACACCCTCATATAGTGGCTTCAGGTTTCCCTCTGTTAGTATAAGTTATTATTATTATTATTATTATTATTATTATTATTTCCTTTGTATAATTTTATATTGTGTGGCTCAGATAGCTTGACTTAGTATATCTATTTGTTAGGATTAGTTAGAGTTATATATACTCTATAATCCTGTTGTCTCGTATCAATTAACGAAAACCTTTTCCAATCTGGTATCAGACTAGGTTTTTCGATCTCTCTTAAACCTCCACCGCAAATATTCCCCCTCCCTTCCTGCACTCCAAATCAGCCATGTCGTCCGCCGGTTCCGATCGTACGGCGTCCGATGGTGCAGCTCCAGCCGCCGGTGGCTCACTCGCCGGCGCTCATCATTATGTTACGATGAAGCTCATGCTGAAGAATTATCTTTTTAGGAGGATGCAGATCGTCTCCTTCCTCCGTGGCCAGGAGTTTCTGGGCTTCGTTGATGGCAGCTTTCCCTGCCCACCGGAGTTTATCGCCGGTACACCGGCGAATGACGACGCCTCGTCAAGCGCAGCCGTCCAGTCCGACACTCCGAATCCGGCTTTCAAAGCCTGGGTGAAGCAGGACCAGACCATCATCTCTCTACTGGTCTCATCTATGGCGGATGAGACGCTTCATCTCGCACTCGGGATGAACATATCTGCCGAGATATGGTCATCCATTACCGGTGCGCTAGGATCCTCAAGCCAGGCGAGATGCCTAAATCTGCTGTCGCAATTCCAGATGCTCAGACAGGGCAATTTAACCACCGACGATTATCTTGGGCGTGCCGGCGTTCTGGTGGAGTCGCTGATCCAGGCCGGCCGGCCATTGACGTTGATGGAGCAGAACCTTTATATTATTTGCGGGCTTCGTCCGGAGCTCAAGACTCTAGCCACTGCGCTGACGGCAACCGGGAATCCGGTGACATTATCGCACTTATCTGATTATTTGCAGGCACATGAATTTATATTGGTGGATGATTATCCAT